TGTTTACCATCACTTCCCGGCCTGGGGACATAGGTGAGCGGAAATTCCACCTTGTTATACCTTGGCTATACCGCCTTGTTCTGGATGATTTCTGGATGAATTTTAATTTAATGAAGTTGGTACGAAATAAAAGCATACCGCTTATGGAATCGATGTGGAGTTCATATTGATTTAAAGCCACAGTTTCCTCAGTGCTGTTTCTTTAGTATTCATCTGGTTCCTGTGTGACTTGTCACCTCGTCTTTCCCATTGGCGTCTTAACATGAACTTGAGATTATCTGCAAAAGGTGACCCATATAATTGGATATGTCTACTCAGAAAACTTTTATCCTATCCGATGAAATTCACATCAAACAGTCAATATGTCGACAGGTTGGGCAGGTGATCTCAATACTAAAAAAAAGTGGTTACTTCCAGCCCAATATCCTGGCCCAGCAAAAAGCAAATCTCAGTTTCATTATCTGTTACAGAAATTGACTACATCTCAGCAGCTTATGCTGGTCAAAAAGTCATTTGGTTTTGGCGGCTAATTGAAGATCTTAGAGAAGCAGCAGTCTATCATAAATGTGTAATGAATCTCATAATGGATTTTTGAGCATTTGTGGGTGAATAAAACTACTTACATTCTGTTAGCTATTATATCAAGACATATCATACACATGCAGAATCATAGTCATAAACTAATAATGGCAGCATAAGGGAAAACAGATAATCATCACTGTGTTTAATGAAGCAAAACAATGCAGATCTGTATGACAGAAAACCCAGACCCTCCCTCTGCTAAAGACCAGGCCAAGACAAAGTAAGTTATTGCTGGGTGTATGCTTAGCATTTGATTTTGGTAAATAACATAAATGCTACCACCAATGATCCCATTGTAGGGCTTGGGTTTAAACCGGCCATAAACAGTTTGAATCTCAGTCAGTTCAGAAGGAACTGGCTGAGATTCAAACCATGTATGTGCAGGCTGAATATCGATTGATCAACTTAGGTACAACCAGTCTGTCCGATTTTTACATGCTATTAATGCTAACACCTATTATAACATTCCCCCCCACCAATAGGAAAGAAATATGCTCTGTCTATGGCTGGCTTTAGAGTCTAAATTTAATGATCAGATCTTGAAGAGATCTCCAATTATTTGCCACTGATCGCCAATTATTTGCATTGACCCCAAGAAAACTGAATATAAACTGTATATGACTTCAATATAGAACCAGTGAAATAACACACACACAAACTTATGCTACACAGATCAACTTTACAACTTCCTCTCAGTCTTCCAAATTTGGGAGGCCATTCAGAAGCTTAAAATATCCTTGAGATGGTCAGTCAGAACAACTTCTGCTAATTTTCTCTTGAAGAGTTTCTTGTTATTTCTATCTCTGTTAAGTGCAGTTGATGATGTAATATAAAGATTAGAATTTATCTACCATTATAATGTGAAGTCCGGCATGTACCTACATACTGCCCTTCAACTCCCAGAGAAACACCTAAGCTATACAGACACTACCTACCAAAATCTTACAGTTTGTCAACTCATACCATATCTACCCACTTCTTCCTCATGCAATTCACATTTAAACTATCATTTGTAACAGCTCCCAATCTGAATACAAGAGAGTGAGTAGGGTGGACAATTACTGTACAAGCTGTGGCTCAGTCAAGCGGGAGAAACAGTCCACGTGATTTTTTTATATGTTCATTAGTTTTATAATGTCTATAAAAAGTTGAATCTCCAAACAAGGATATATTTAAGAATTATACACAAACCTCCTCCTGTAAATTGCAGTACTGATAAGGAAAGTAGTTGCATAGCTAGTTGTAGTGGGCAATAAGAATCGTTCTTCATTCAGATACTTTTATACATGGTGCCCTTTCAGTCTTCCTGTCACCCCAACCCTTCTGGCAAATAGCTGTTCAATTCTACACCTGCATTTTATTTTGCATGATTGAGAGCTTTTTGCCTTGCCAAGATATTTTTTCCAAGTGGTATTTTTTGCACCAACAGTAAGGTTCAGGATGGTAGCGTGAACCTGTGTTTATGTCAAAGGTGCTTAAATGCAGAGAAACATTAGGGTATGTTTTGAAACATGTCTGTGTTTTGTGTACTGTAGAGAGCAAACTGGAAACCTGAAGCTCAGGTTGTTCTGATTTGCAAATAAAGATTTCAGAAACTGAGGTTTTGTTGAATTTAATACCCTTCTGCTACTCAATAGGTCAGTGACATTATTATTATTATATGATACAGGATTTATATAGCGCTAACAGTTTGTGCAGCGCTTTACATTAAATGAAGGCAGACATTACAGTTACAATACAATTTAGTACAAGAGGAAACAGAGGGCCCTGCTCGTTAGAGCTTACAATCTAGTCATGTAATGGACCATAGTATGTAGTAAGACAATAGTAATGGACCAATACTAAGGTGAAGGGGGGATGGCCAGTACCCAACTAGCCTGGCAATCTACCTCTTTATTAAAGCTGTATTCATACTAACATGTCCTGCCTGAGCAATTTGTTTAATCCCTAACTGCAGACCAAGTTTTTGAGTGTTCCTAGTTTCAGTCTTCCAGAGTTCCTGCGACCTGTGACTCCAGAGATCCCTGTGCCTCCAGTGTCCTCTACATTTTGTTCTGCCAAAGACTCTGACACCTTTTGCCTTCACTTCTTTGACCTTTTGCACTCCTGTGTTTCTGTAACCCGCTGTGTCACTCATTGTCTCAGAATTCCAGTTTCCCTGCATTCACGGCTCTACAGTTATTGACTTCAGCCTTGTATCTGATACTGCATGTGGTGAATTGCCATTCTTTCTGAATGCTGGCAGTGTCTGTATCTACAGTATGTATGAAGTAATTTTAAAGTGAGTGTGAATAAGGACCTTGTTGATGGAAAGTGTGATAGTTCTTAAGCATTATGGTAGGGTGAACCTCAAACTTATTTATTAAAGTTTACTACAGGCCACCCACTATAATGAGGAGGTAGAGACTCAGCTCCTTACACAGATAGAAGGAGCTGCAAGAATTGGGACAATGATAGTAATGGAAGATTTTAACTGCCCTGAAATTGACTGAAGTATTGGCACTGCTGGAACAGAAAACCTATTTCAAGACAATTTTATGGTACATTTTACAGAAGCCACAACTAGAAATGATGCTCTGCTGGACTTGGTAAAATTAAACCATGTAGAGCTTATTACTAATATTCATGTAAAAGATTATCTGGGTGGCTGGGACAATAACAAGATTTAATTTAATGTGAGCTGTAAACAACAAGAACATACTGGAAAGATAAAAACACTTCATTTAAGAGAGTACATTTTCCAAGTCTAAGGGATGCTCTCAAAGACTGACTGGGAGGGAATATTGTCATGGAGGAACACAGAACAGCAATGAAAATGTTTCAAACTAACTGTATGCGATCACACTGCTAAATATATTTCCATTGGTAGTTTTTTAAAAGGCTAAACATAAAACCTATGTGGCTCACATCCAAAGTGAGATAAGCTATAAATAAAAAGAAAATAAATTAAAAATATAAAGATGAAGGAACACTGTCATCAATTAAAAGTTAGAAAGAATATAATAGAAAATGTAAAAAGAAAAGAAATCAAAGTCAGAAAAATTCAAAACTAATGGCAGAACAAAACCCCAAAAAATTTTCAAATATAATAATTAGAGATGAGCGAATTATTCAAAAATTCGGTTCGGCTGATTCGCCGAATTCGCCGATTAAATTCGCTTCGTGCCGAATATATTCGCTGCGAATTTAACTTATAAAAAGGTGTTTTCTAGGCTTCAGAGAGCCTTTATATTAGTGCAGAACACTGTACCTTTAATTTAAATGCCCTTGGAGTCTGCTGGGAAGAGAAATAATACTGTCAGTCAGTATGACATGCAGATGAGTGCCGTCGATCTTAGAATCACCGCACACTTCACTCATTTGGGCAGTCACGGGGCCAAAAACCAGAGTGTGGAGCCACAGTGTGGCGGTGGAGGCAGCAGCAATGGGAGGCCATACAGCACCCTATGACAAAATGGAACCCACCAGCAGTGTGAGGAGACCTGAAAGTGGCACATGGCAGAGTGTGGCGATGGAGACAGCAGCAATGGGAGGCCATACAGGGACCCATGACACACTCTGGACCTGGCAGCAGCATGAGGAGGCGGTACAGGGGCCCATGACAGATTACGGGCCTGGCAGCAGCATGAGGAGTCGGTACAGGGGCCCATGGCAGATTATGGGCCTGGCAGCAGCATGAGGAGGCGGGTACAGGGGCCCATGGCAGAGTGGCGGAGCGTAAGCAGCTAAAATTGAAGGCCATACAGAGGCCTATGTTAAAAAGTCCCCCCAGCAGCAGCGTGGGGAGACGACTATCAAGAGTCCAATGGCAGAGTGGCGGAGCAGAAGCAGCTTCAATTGAAGGCCATACGCAGGCCTAGGTTAAAAAAGCGGAAGCCGTCAGCAGCGTGAGCAGACGACAGAGACACATGGCGCAGGGTGGCGGTGGATGCAGCAGTATTCGGAAATTCGGAAGCCAAACACAGGCCTCGGTTAAAAAGCGGAAGCCGTAAGCAGCGTGAGCAGACGACAGAGGCACATGGCGCAGGGTGGCGGTGGAGGCAGCAGTATTCGGAAGCCATACACAGGCCTAGGTTAAAAAGCGGAAGCCGTCAGCAGCGTGAGCAGACGACAGAGACACATGGCGCAGGGTGGCGGTGGATGCAGCAGTATTCGGAAGCCAAACACAGGCCTCGGTTAAAAAGCGGAAGCCGTCAGCAGCGTGAGCAGACGACAGAGGCACATGGCGCAGGGTGGCGGGGGAGGCAGCAGCAATGGAAGGCCATACAGCACCCTATCACAAAATGGAACCCACCAACAGTGTAAGGAGACCTGAAAGTGGCACATGGCGCAGGGTGGCGGTGGAGAGCAGCAGTATTCGGAAGCCATACACAGGCCTAGGTTAAAAAGCGGAAGCCGTCAGCAGCGTGAGCAGACGACAGAGACACATGGCGCAGGGTGGCGGTGGATGCAGCAGTATTCGGAAAGCCAAACACAGGCCTCGGTTAAAAAGCGGAAGCCGTCAGCAGCATGAGCAGATGACAGAGGCACATGGCGCAGGGTGGCGGTGGAGGGCAGCAGTATTCGGAAGCCAAACACAGGCCTCGGTTAAAAAGCGGAAGCCGTCAGCAGCATGAGCAGATGACAGAGGCACATGGCGCAGGGTGGCGGTGGAGGCAGCAGTATTCGGAAGCCATACACAGGCCTAGGTTAAAAAGCGGAAGCCGTCAGCAGCGTGAACAGACGACAGAGAGACACATGGCGCAGGGTGGCGGTGGATGCAGCAGTATTCGGAAGCCAAACACAGGCCTCGGTTAAAAAGCGGAAGCCGTAAGCAGCGTGAGCAGACGGACAGAGGCACATGGCGCAGGGTGGCGGTGGAGGCAGCAGTATTCGGAAGCCATACACAGGCCTAGGTTTAAAACTGGAACCCAGCAGCGTGAGCAGACGACAAAGACACACATGGCAGAGGATAGATCTGGCAGCAGTATGAGAAGGCGGTACAGGGGCCCGTGGCACAGTGTGGTGATGGGGGCTACAGCAACTGGATGCCAGAAAGTGGCCGATAGGGCTATATACTGCATGGAATTATAAAAGTTGTAAAGACAGCGGCCTATAAGGCTATACACACTATAACAATCATGACTTGATTGACCATTGGCCTATAAGGCTATACACAGCATGAATATCATGACTTATTCTGAGAGTGGTTTGGAAGGCTATATACAAAAAGTAATTCATGAGCTGTCCGGACAGCGGACAATAAGTACATATATACAAATCAATTCATCAGCTGTCCAGCCAGCGGCCTCAAAGGCGACACATATAGAAAGCAATTCATGAGCTATTCAGACAGCGGCCTCTAAGGCGACAGATATACAAAGCAATTCCCGAGGTGTTCAGGGAGCGGCCTGAACGGCTAGGTTATTAGGTCAGTTGTGTCAGGAACTGGTGGTTTGAAATCCAGGCTAATCCACGCCTGATTCATTTTTACAAACGTGAGTCTCTCCACACTTTGGGTGGACAGTCGTGTCCTCCGCGGAGTTACAATACCTCCTGCCGCACTAAACACGCGCTCCGATGCCACGCTACTGGCCGGGCATGACAGCCTTTCAAGGGCAAATTCAGCTAGTTGGGGCCAAAGGTCAAGTTTCGTTGCCCAGTAGTCAAGGGGATTGTTTACCTCGGTTGGCAGGGTGCTGTCCAAGTAGGCCCAAGCCTGTTGTTTGAGGTCCTGCTCCAGGTAGACCTGATGCTGCTGCTGCTGCGGCTGGTTAGTAGTTTCCTCACTGCGCTGGTGAAGAAAGCTATCATCATCGACTGCAGACTGAGGCAGCCGCTGCTGGTGGAGCTGCCACTGCTCCTACCACCCCACCCCTCCCTGCTGCCATGGCAGCGGAACGCGAGCGCACAGGGCCCACAGTGTCTGAGGATGGACGTTGGCGCAGAAAGGCAGAGACCAACTGACTACATAGGTGGTTTTTATAGTACTTTATTTTGGCCTCCCTCTCAGCAGGTGTGAAAAAGGCCACCATTTTTGAACGGTAGCGAGGGTCCAACAAGGTGGACAGCCAAAAGTCATCCCTCTGTCTGATGGTTATTATTCGGCTGTCGCTACGCAAGCAACCGAGCATGCTATGGGCCATTTGTGCCAAGGAATGCGAGGGACTCCCTGCCTCCATCTCCACAGCATACTGCCACGGTGCGTCTGGGTCCTCTGTCTCCTCCTCCTCCTCTCTACCAGATGCTCCAGCTCCTCCACTCCTGTCCGCTGAGTGGAAAAAAAACCACCCATTTCACTCAATAATTCCTGAGCACCAATGTCCTCCTCTACCTCCTCCTCTTCTTCCTGTCCTGCCCCCACAGGGGTCATGTGGCGTTGAGATCTGTGCGCCACGTCTACCGCACCCTGACCAGCCATTGTTAACAGCATTTGTTCCAGGACGTGCAACAGAGGAATGACGTCGTTCATCCCATAGTCCTGCCGACTCACGAATAGCGTGGCCTCCTCAAAGGGCCTGAGCAAGCGGCAGGTGTCACGCATGAGCTGCCAATGGTTGACATCTAAGTTACACAGGGGAGTACCTTTATCCGCTTGTAACATCAGGAAATCGGTGATGGCCTTTCGCTGTTCGTAAAGGCGGTCTAACATGTGTAGGGTTGAATTCCACCTTGTTGCAACGTCGCAGATCAGGCGATGCTGTGGAATTCCGTTCTGCCGCTGCAGCTCAAGGAGGGTGTGCTTTGCGGTGTAGGAATGGCTGAAATGCATGCAAAGTTTACGTGACATTTTAAGGATGTCTTGCAGTGGGATGGTGGATTTTAGGAACCGCTTGACAACCAGATTGAACACGTGAGCCATGCATGGCGCATGGCACAACCTTCCTTGACGCAGAGCAGACACCATGTTCTTTCCGTTGTCGGTCAACATGGTTCCGATTTTCAGTTTGCGCGGAGACAGCCATCTGTCGATTTCTCTGTTCATTACACTGAGAAGTTCCTCCCCTGTGTGACTACGTTCGCCAAGGCATACCAGGTGCAGCACAGCGTGACACCGTTGCGCCCTGCACATGTGATATGCCGGTCGGGTAATGGGACTTGGCACGGGGGTGGCGGCTGAGGACACGGCGGAAGAAGAAGAGGTGGTAGAGGCGGACATCTTTGCTGGACCAAGGACGTGCAAACGTGGAGGCAAAAGCGGCGTGACCTGTCCAAGTTGCTGGTGCGGCTGTGCCGGCACCACGTTCACCCAGTGGGCCGTAAATGACATGTACTGTCCCTGACCGTAGTTACAGCTCCACACGTCGGCGCTGCCGTGCACTTTGGCAGAGACCGACATGCTCAAAGACTGGCCCCACCATCTCTTCTACATGTGAATGCAGGGCTGGCACTGCCTTTTTGGCGAAGAAATGCCGGCTTGGCACTCTCCACCGTGGCTCGGCACAAGCCATCATTTCTCGGAAAGGTGCTGAGTCCACCACTTGGAAAGGGAGGGACTGCAGCACCAGCAACTTGGACAGGAGGACGTTCAGCTTCTGCACCGTCGGGTGCGTGCTCGCAAACTGTTGTCTCTTGGAAACGGATTCCAAGAAAGACTGCTGACGGAATCCGTGAAGAGGAGTAGCAGGAGAAGGAGCATCTGAACGAGCGGAAGATGCCAACGAGCGACAACTCCCCTCAGCAGAGGTGTTGGAGCCTTGACTGGCTGATAGAGGGCGATTGACGTCGGGTGACGGAGCAAGTAACGGAGCGGGTGATGGAGCGGGGGCTGGGGCAGGCAGAACCGCCGTATCTTTATCACGGTTTTCCCAGGCCACCGAATGGCGACGCTGCATATGCTGACGCAACGCTGTAGTCCCAACATTGGCCCCCTGGCCACGCTTGACTTTCTGGCCACATAGTCGACATACGGCTACGTTTACTTCCTCGGGCGGCTTGACGAAAAATTGCCACACCGCCGAGTAGGAAACTTTGCCCCCGCTACTCCTCACTGGCTGACTGCTACTTCCTCCGTGCAACACCGGCACCACTACTGGCCGTGGTGGTAGGCTGCAGTAGAGCTGGGGGCTCTACTCCCGTGGCCGTTTGGCTCCACTGACACTGCTGCGACCCTGCTGCCTCCTGGGCAACCCCACCGACTGTTTTGCTCGCTGGCAAGCTGGCACCCTCTTCTCCTGATGATGCGGAAGCAATAGCCTGATGACGACGAGGCTGCCAAGTGCGATCAGCCTCATCATCATCAATTAGGGTCTCCGCGTCACTACTAGCCCCTCGGCTGCGTGTGGGTCAGGAGACAGACCTGTCTCTAGACCGGCTACCGAGCCACTCTCCTCGCCAGTACTTCTTCGCCTGGCTGCTGAAGAGGCAGATGTCTCCCCCCGTTCCTGACCGCCCTCTGTTAGCTCTTCCTCACTGTACAGTGGGACTGAGCCCACAGCATGCGATACTTCGCTTGGTGAGGGAACACCAAAGGACAGGGGCAGGTCGAGGACACGTGATCTCAGTGGGCTTGCTCCCCGGCCATGCCAACTAACGGTTGTGTCTGACGTACCCACCGACCATTGGCTGTAGGTGTCAGAGGTGACCTGGGAAGAGGAAGACGACCGAGTCAACCAATCGATGGACGGCAGGGTTGTCGGTGGAGACACGACCGCTGGATGACACCGGAGCACTGGCCTCTGGCTGCGACTAGTGCTGCCTCGACCCCTTCCTCTGCTGCCACGTCTGCTCGCTCCTGAAACATTGCCTCCTCTGCCACTCCTCTGCGTGTTGTCTGACATACTCTTTAATTCAATAAGCACCCCAAAAATAAAACCGGATTTTAACTCTTTGAACGTACAATAGTGGTTGTGAAGCAGAAAGTCAGTTTATTTTAGCACAATCGGTCAATTGCAGCTTGCCGTTGGCTGGAAACTGTAACGTTTATGTCACTGGAATGCACTAATCACCCAAAAAAATATTATCGCCACCCGGCGTGTATATGGATTTAACTCTTTGAACGTACAATAGTGGTTGTGAAGCAGAAAGTCAGTTTATTTAGCACAATCGGTCAATTGCAGCTTGCCGTTGGCTGGAAACTGTACGTTTATGTCACTGGAATGCACTAATCACCCAAAAAATATTACCGCCACCCGGCGTGTAAATGGATCTAACTCTTTGAACGTACAATAGTGGTTGTGAAGCAGAAAGTCAGTTTATTGTACACAATCGGTCAATTGCAGCTTGCCGTTGGCTGGAAACTGTACGTTTGTGTCACTGGAATGCACTAATCACCCAAAAAATATTACCGCCAGCCGGCGTGTAAATGGATTTAACTCTTTGAACGTACAATAGTGGTTGTGAAGCAGAAAGTCAGTTTATTTTGCACAATCGGCAAACTGCAGCACCAACTGTGCACGACAGCCACCAAAAAAAAAAAAATGGTGTATGTCACTTTAAATTTTCGATTCTTTGATAGCTGTGGCCCTAAGTAACGATTCTGTGTCCCTGAGTAACGATTTTGTGTCCCTGAGTAACAATTCTGTGTCCCTGAGTAACGATTCTGTGTCCCTGAGTAACGATTCTGTGTCCCTGAGTAACAATTCTGTGTCCCTGAGTAACAATTCTGTGTCCCTGAGTAACAATTCTGTGTCCCTGAGTAACAATTCTGTGTCCCTGAGTAACGATTCTGTGGCCCTAAAGTCTCTGTGGCCCTAACTCTGTCCCTCAATACACAGAGGTCTGTCTCTCTTGAATGACCGGAGGCTAATGGAGAATTCTAAGATGGCCGCGATTTATAGCTCCACCATTACACAGTGCTGGCTGGCTGGCTGCTGATTGGCTAATGCGATCACATGTCATGATTCATGACTCATGAATGCATT